CAGCTGATTTAAAAAAATAACGTGCCTGAAATGATAATGAAGAGACCTTTATTAAGAACGTGTAGTCTAGCAGAATCTGCCATCTTTCCCAGCAGCAGTTTACTATTGCATTATGTAGGGATATGTTTTGTTTGTTTGGGGGGTTTTTTCTCAGCAATTTGGAGCCTTCATAATTTGAGTGCATGAGTTAGCCACGTGGAAAAAACTGCACCCACCCATTCCATGTGTCATAGTTGAAAGCTAAAATCTTATTTTTGTTTAGTACAGTTGCGGGCTGGCCCAAACAGTTGGCTTATAAAAGGTGTCATTTTTGCCTTGATTTTGATACCAGGCTCATCTTCTGCTCACAGTTACATTGTCAAAACATTTGTCCAACATAGTCCTATATTAGAAAAAATGCCTGGTGTTGTAAATGCAGAACAACTGAACTTGTTAACAGTCCAGATCAGCGTATGCTTGAACTTCCCGTTTAGGTATATCATATGGTAGACTGACATAACTGTAAGCAAACAGAATTACCAAATAAATATTCTGTTTCATGTACCTGGCTGCTCCAAGAGCTTCTGCTTGCTCTGCGTAGCAGACCTCGGTTTTTAAACAAAATTTTGCTTTTCCTGCAGGGTCCAGTGCTGTCCCCTCTTGGAGACAGCCCTCTGCAATCCAAAGACGAAATAACACCCAGTAAGTCGCTTTAAATCACTTATTATTACATCACCATCTTTAAAAACTACCGTTTTCTTCATAATGTTAGGAAATGTTAACTTTATTATTGCAGATTTCAGATACACTGCAGATCTTCCTGACAAGCAGTTGATTAATGTGCCTAACACTGATGCTGCGAGTAAATCTGCTGAGGATGAAAAACCCCAAATTCCCAAAAAGGTTGGTTTAATACTCCAGAAAACTGTCATGATCATTTATCTTACTTTTATGTGCTGATATAGCTGGAAATTATATCAATGTTCAAGGATGTGCTGCTTTTTATGTGCATTATTCATTAGAAAGTGGTGCAAATACTTTCAAATGTGGTGTTTCCACCACCAGAAGGCATTAAATTATTACAACTTAACTTTTTTTTGTGTTTTTTCCCTCTAGTGGCCAAAACCTAGCTGGTTGATGCCAACAAATGCACACCAATGTTTGAAGTGAATGTATCTAAACATTGTGATTTTCCTTGCTTAGGATATTGTGGTGAAAAACACCGAGCCTTGGGTGAGATTGGGAAGACCGAGAGAGAGGGTGATGCTACCTCCAAACAAGTCCTCAAAAGAGATCTTCCAGATGTTTCGTGAAAAACTACTGAAAAAGAAATTGTTGGATGAAAGCAAAAAGATCGAGGCTCCTGAAAAGACCAGGTGTTCACACAGTTAATAGTTAAAGCATTCGATGTGAATTTAAATTAATAGGTAGATTTAATTAAGTTGTCTGGCATACAGTTGTTGCCTTTTGGCCAAAGTTTTAAAGATGCCAAAACTACTGAGTGCCTGTATTAGTTGCTATAAGCCAAGATATTTTTTTTTTCTCTGAAAACATAATAATTGATTTAAAGAGAGCAAAGTCAGTAACTTGGGTATTCTCCTTCTAGTCTACAAGTCCCATGTAAATCAGAACAAAACCCACAGCCTGTTAAGGAAGTTTCGGGTTTGCCTGGAAGTATTTGCACAGAAGGTCCCTTGGATGCTCCCAAACATGTTGAACAGCAAAGGTCAAAAGAAAGGCAACCTCTAATCACACAGTCGTCTTTAGATAAAGAAAGAGAGCTGGCCCGCAAAAGAGCGCAGGAACGTCGCAAGCGAGAAGCAGTGAGTACCTTCTGTATCTGTTTCAGTGATCCATTTGTATCATTTCATTTGATTTTGGTAAAAAATATCATGTTAAACTGTTTTGCTGTTTGTTTTTCCTCTTTTATATAGATGACTGGTATCGACCTAACCTTGCAACGGGATGTGATGACTAGATTTGAGCTTGACCTTTAAACTGGGCGGAGATTTATCTGAAACGTGTTTGATGTCTTGATAGTTTTTTTTTCCTTTTGATGCCCTGTACATGTCATTAAACCTAATAAAATAAATGCTTCATTTGTGGGGGTGGTAGTAATTTGAGCCCTTTTCAAACATCATTATATCATACTGTTAAGAGTTAATTTTGTTAATGTTCACGCAGAGAGTTTGATCGGACATGTCAGCGATGGAGGAAACCACAGTATACACACAATGTTCCACTTTTGCAACAAGCATATTTTAATATGCTCGTCTTTATTTAGTGGAGTAGTTGGAAAAAAATTATTTAGTTTTCTCTGCACGGTATGTCCTTCTGTTTGTTTTATAGTGCTGCTGAGAGGATTAAAAGAGGAACATTTTAATCTTAATGCACTTTTGAAACTAAACTGTTGAGATACAAATGCTATTATGTACATGTTATTGCATCCCAAAGATGTGGGAAAGACCTGGCGAGATTGATGTTGTAAGCATTACGGAAACCTGACCAGGTGCTCTTTGGCAAAACTTGACAAAATGTTGAGGCGCCATCAGGTGAATGTAAAGTCGTGCACATCTTAAAGGGGCTTTAAGTGCAAATGGATTTAGTCCTTACTAAATCCTGCCTGCACTAGTGCCCTCTGGATTTTCGCCTGACTAGGGTTAAAGTGCCTTCATAAAAGAGTTATGTTTTTCTCTACTGTTCAGAGGTAAGATATGCACAGTAAGCTAGTTCATATCCTATGTACTGCAGTTTCAATGCCACCTTGTTGCATTGTCTACTTAAACATGCAGCGGTTGTTCTGGTATTAAATGTTAATGTCCTGTAAGTGTTTACCGTGGTTTTGTTAATACTGACTTAAATATACTTGAAATGTAAACAGAACACTGTAGCATGTTTACACACTGACTTTTTTTTTCTTTCTTAAATATTCTTGGATTTTTTTATTTTTTTTAAAAAAAACTGAGCCAGGAAAAAATATTACAGTACCAAAGTTTTCTTTGTGCAATTGACTTCTCAGTTCCTTGAATACTTGAAATGCCAAATATTGTGTTAGCTGTACATGCACTGCACTTTGTTATTCATGCAGTTTTTTCTTACTCAATAAACCTTTTTCACTAAACAGTCTGGATCACTTTATCAAAATATCAGGTTACTGCACAGATGCAGTTTACTCATAATGCAGATGATCCCCCATAAATCCATACAAGAGCTAATCATATGGTTACCAGCATGCACCACAACCACTGGTAAGTTTTCTTTCATTTAGTTCTGGTTGCTGTGCTGCATGTCATGTCAGAGTGCAAAATAAAACCCAACTGCTGGCAGGGCAAATTAGCTAAAGGTATATTATTTAAACAATTTAATCTCCACACACAATCTTCTACACTAATTATTTATTAACTTGATGAAATATGAAGGAGCTTGACGTGTGTGTGTGTGTGTCAAGTTCACATTATTTATGCTGTCATGGATAAAGCTACACAAGAAATTATTAAACTTGAACTTTTATATTGTGCTTGATATTTAGCCAAGCACAGAATATATACTTGTTAATGTTTTCATGAATACAGAAACATATCTAAGAACTGTTTCCATTCTTTGTTAAAATCAACCACATGCTCTTTGGAGTTACTATTCATAACTGCATTGGTAATAGTGCAGTCATGAATATTGATAATCCATTAATTAGTGATGAGTTTTTGATAAATCAATTGGATTTAATTATAGATGAGGTTATTCTCTTAAATGCATTAAAATTAGAATCTAAATGTCTGAATGTTTTAGTAAATTTCTACAATATAAATGTGATGTAGCTGTAAATATGTTGTAGTATTCCCATAAGTAAAATAGAGGGGTAAATGTAAAAAATAAATAAATGACTAAAAAGGGGTAGAAATCAGTATTTGTGCTTCAGGCATATATGAACATATCTATTCAGTATAGGTTTACTATTGCATTATGTTATTTTTTTCTGTGCAGAGCTTGATTAAAGTCTTGGATTTAAAAAAGAAACATCATGTAGGGTAGATTTAAAACAGGAACAAAACTGTTTATGAAATGCTGGTGCCATCCTTGCTTTTTAAAGAATGTGTTCTGTTAAAATGTTTCTCTCACAGCGTCTCTGGGTCGGATTTACAATGAAGCATCCAAACTAACAAAATGTTTAAGAGTTAGTAGACCAATCAAAATGTGGGAGACTAGATATATAGTAACAAACCTCCTGTTGGCTAAATAACTAAAGCTGAGTTTAAAGGCAGAGGGAAACACTGATGATCACACAAGCTTTGTTCGGGGTGAGATGGCAATTAACATTTGTTAAGTTTAAATTTGTTGAGTTAAACATATAAATAAAACTTAACTGTAGTTTGTTCCCCTTAAGTGCAAATAGTGTTAGGATAATTCTTTTTACAATTTATGTTTTTAAAATATAAATCCTGTTTAATTTTACTAGTGCGATTTACAGATTCGCCTAGGATCCGGGTTGATCCAAGAGGAGAATCAAAGCCCTTGGAGGGTTTCCTCAGAAGGGGCATAAGGTGTAACAAATCTACCAAATCAAATATGTGGAGCTGTCCGCTGTAGCGACCCCTTGTGAATAGCTGGGGAAAGGATTTCTTCATTTTGCCATGGTTGGGCCTCCATATATTCGCGTGAGCGTACAGAGGTCTTTATCGATTCCACATATCCAGCCACGTGAGGGGTTAAGCTGATCCAAAGTCGGTTAACTGGCCTCTGATGTGTGTTATCCGGTCCCCGCTTCGGTTTTCTAACGGAATAATTGACCTGCTCGTGTCCGTGTGTGATTTAGTAGACTTGACAGCCACACACCTGTGACACCGCATCTCATTAACATATCAATGCGCAGTCACAGCCTACCTGCTAATTAAACCGGGAAACCGCCACTTATTGTTCATGAAGCGCTTGGTGAGATAATTTAAAATAACGGGGATTATTTCACTGATGATGAGCTGAAGTCACGCAGACCTTTTTTTTCTTTTTTATCGCAGCTTTGTTGCCATAACAGCGTGAAGCCGTGGTGCTTTGCAGTGATTTTTTTTCCTCCGGAGGTTTTGCTGCTTAACAGCGCCTCTTAGCTGTTCAATGTAAATCAACGTAAAGCTCCGCATCGAGACGCTTATTGCTCGATTTCGGACTTGCCTTGTATAGTCAACAACACGGTCTCCTGCCAAACAGCCACGGCTGTCACACGCACGCGTGAAATCTGACGTGATGCTCTTGCCACCGTCCCATTCAGCCGCTTGTTGGGATCCTCCCTTCAGACAGTCGTGCGTATGCGCTGGTAAAGAAACGACGGCATTGTCAGAGCGGTGTTTAAACAGAAACGACCAGTTAACAGAAATCAATCAATAGGTAACGTGATCCGGGCTGATTTCCTGCGGCAATGTAAAGATGGCGAGAGTGCTCCACAACTTGCTGATATTTTTAATCAGTCTTGCGCTGAAAATCAGAGTTTTGGGGTATTGGTCATTGATATACGGTTATTGTGCTCTTTGCGCCATCGTAGCCCTGCTGAAACTTTGGTGGAACATCGTTTTAAGGCCGACAACAACCTTCCAATGGGTGATTCGTGAAACTCCCCCGGCTTGTCTGAATGACACGTCCTTGGGAACCCACTGTTATGTTAGGATCAAGGTAAGAGACGCGCACGCACTTGGACATGAAAGGTGTCTGTAAGGGTAACAGCCTTTGTGTGTGTATGTGTGTGTACGGACGCCAGGGTGTTCACGTGTAAAAAAAGCAAAAAAAAAAACGCCTCAACACCTTTCCGCCGTGTCGCGTCGTGAAAATCCAAACGGGGCCCGATGTTTTAGCACAATCTCGAAGCGTCTGTTTGTTTTTGCGAAGCGCTTCTATTTATTTATTTGTAATGTTTTTGGTGGAGTCAAGGCTTGCTGGCGCGGAGCTCAGGTGGTGCTGAAAGAACAGCTCCTCCGCCTCACGTCTCTGCATGCAGCGTGCTGCCAGCCTCTAACTACCAACCTACAGTGTGTGTTCAGGATTATGTAATTAAAATATCAAAGCATGTCCCGATGTGAGGGGTGGAAGAATTATTCACATCCTAGACTTCGGAATGACTACCAACACAAGATGTACTTAAAGCATGACAAGTACAGCAGCATGTACCTGTCATTCTTATATTATGGGATTGTCATTAGTAACGTATTAATATAAGAAGGAATTCTGATCTACTTCATGATCTGTTGGAGAATAGCAATGTGTTTAAAAATAAATGTTCCACAAAAGTAGCAGAGAATGACAAATACCTTAAACAAGTACTAGAATACATGTACACTGTTTTAGCGCAAGAACACTCATATGTGCCTGTTAAAGCATGTGCTTCTTAATCATAAACCAAAGTTTTCCATGAGCAAATGAATCTGATCTGCAGTGAGCACAGTGCATGAAGGGTTTGGTTGAAAACAACACGGTGCAGGGGAAATAATTAAAGTGAACAGAATAAATCTGCTGACGTGTAACCATACAAGAAAGAAAAAAGTACTGGAAGTATATGTCCATGGAAGCAGATTACTTTACAGAACCATAAAATTGCAAATAAAATTTGATCAAATATTAAAATGAATTGGGATGAACAGCTAAATATCCATCCATAATACCATTCATCCACTCCATCCATTGTTTCCACTTATCCAATTCAGGGTTGTGCCGGAGCCTATCCCAGCTGTCATAGGGCAGGAGGTAGGGTACACCCGGGACGTGTCACTAGTCCGTCACAGGGCTGATACAGAGAGACAGACAACCTTTCACACTCACATTCACACCAATAGCCAATTAGAATCACCACTTAACCTAAAATTCATGACTTTGGACCGTGGGAAGAAGTTAGAGTACCCAGAGGGAGCTTGCAGGCATGGGGAAAATATGCAAACTCTACACAGAAACCCTCTGCTGTCCGGAGGATTTACTGTGATGTGACAGTGCTAACCACTGTCCCACCATGTCACAATGAGAGGCTAAAAATAGTAAGTAAAATTCAAAATGAAGAAGGGAAAACCTGCATTTCTGCTCTGTCTGTCCAGCTCACTGACAGTGTCAACAGAAAAAATAATATTTATAACTATCCTGCTCACACAAAGAAAACTTGTACACATACTCAAACACATTGGAAATATCAGCACAAATCCTGCTGACCATCCAAAAAGCACATCACTCAGAAATCTATCCTAATATTTGCTAAATCTGCAGAGACTGTGGTTTTCTGATATATTCAGAGAAAGATCCTCAGATCCTCCAAAGCACCTAATCCCCACTAAATAAAAACAGAGAAGCTTTTCTATCTGACACTTAATAACACCTCAAGGTGGGGATTGTGGGGGATTGTCTTTCTCTTTAAATAGCCCAATAATATTGCTTTCTTTGTATTTGATTTGTTTTATAATAGACTCTAGTCCAAGCAGTAGCATTTTGAAGTGCGCTAACACCCATTTCATTTCAACATGTGACATAAAATTCATCAACAGAATTATAAAACTATATGTATTAGAACAAAATCATTCAATATACAAGTACCTGTCTGATACTCGGTTTTCTTAATATAATGATTACTGCGGATGTTATTTTGCATCACCTGCAATTTGATCCTAAGTGTAGCCGCGAAGCCTCTAAACCAAGCAGAGCAAGCACAATAAAGTGACCCTGAAGTTTCTTGTTACAATGCTTCGTTTTGCTAAATAGGAACTAAATCTGCCCCCACTGCCTAAAAACAGAAACACCTTTGGCTTCTTATTATCTCACTTGAGCTATTGAACTTTATCAAGAACAATCAATTCAACTTTATCAGCTGACTTTGACTGTAGAATATGCCCAACTTAAATCCATCTTAGCAACACGTCTGTAGAAGCAGGAGTTTGGTGATATCACAACTAAGGAAGCAGTCCTGCATGTAGCTTACACAAGTGTAGTGCAGCAACCTGAAGCTTCAGGTGGGTTAAGGACTTTAGAGTAAAGTAGGGGACTTTTTGTGTCAGCCCGCTATTGCGCAGCTTTCCTCTTTGCTTCTGTTTAATGCTGAAATCTATTCCAGCTGTTGTAGGGTGAGAGGACCTTTGCATCAGTTTATTGCAAAGGTCTAAGCCGTATTTTCCTGTTTTTGATTCACCTGACTGCCTTGTGTAGAGATGCTTCAATAATCTCAAGCCTACAATGCGCACTTAAAGTATTTGTTGTTCTTTCTCAGAACCCCAAACAGTAATATATGAGAAAGAAAAGCAAAAAAATAAAAATCCCCACATTTCTGAGGCACAGCTTTGATATGTTTCTTAAAAAGATTTAAAAAATCAAACCCTGTTAAATCTAATGAACTTCCAACTATTTAAACACAAGCGTTTACATCAACTTGTTCTTCTTCTCTACTCTCACTTTTTCCATCAGATGGAAATATTGTAGGTGTCTTCTGCATAATTTTATTTATCTTTCATCAGCCTTTAGTTTGACATATTGGGGACACTGCTTGTCTTGTCTTTAAACTTTCAAAATGAAACATTTGCATATTAAAGCACTTTAGATTATTTAGGAAGATTAAATGTGGATGTAAGAAATGTGGGCAGGTGTTGTCATAATTTTCTTTTGTGTTAAAATTACACATGTACATTTAAATGTCTACAAACATTTCCTGAAGGAGTCTTGAAGTTTGTTAGAGCACTTAGTATTCTGCAGAAACAAATTCACAAGAGTGTTTCAGGTCCAGTAAACATGATTTTACAAGCTTGTGATACACTGATTCTTATTTAATGGCTCAAAAGAAAACGAGCTATTCCTGTCTTGTTTCCCCGTAGTAGTTTTCCCTGCAGCTCCCCTCAGTAACAGTCACTTAGGAGCGCTGGCTTGTTCCGTTGTGTTCACTAAATGGCTTTGGATAAAAGTGACGGCTGAAGTGTTCATGTGCAAATGTGTCTTTGTGTGTCTTGTTTCTGTGCAGGAGTCTGGCCTCAGGTTCCACTATGTTGCTGCTGGTGAGAGAGGAAAGCCCCTCATGTTGTTTCTGCACGGCTTCCCTGAGTTCTGGTAGGTCAGAGGCAAATCAGGGTCAGAGTAACAGTAAAAGCTTCTCTAAACCAGACTGTAAGATGTTGTGTTGTGCAGTTGTATTTGGTATTTGCTGCATTGGTCATCTCTCTAGAATTTCCACTATGAGGATTCCTCCCTTGCTCAGCAGCAGTGTTAAATCTCTGCGATCTGGCTGTGGGCCTGCAAAAACAAATCCAAGCCAGCAGAGAGGAGTCCTCATTCACAGACATGATTTGCCATCGGGGGAAAGGGGTCCAAAGCATTCAAGCTCTCTTCCTCCTGATATGAAATGAAAAATGATGTTGAGTGTTGCGTCTGGATCAGGGCCAAAGAGCTTGTCAAGAACTGTAAGCCCGTCCATATCTCTAGCATGCTATCTAAGCTGCGGACAGGACAGGGATTAATTAACGATAGAGGGGAGCTCTTTCTGCTTCACTTGACATATCCTTCAGAGGAACGATGAAACTGTACTGAGGTGCTTGGAAAGAGTGCTTTTTAAAATGTGCTAATTCCCTTTCAGAAATAAGAAAGATGAGACTTTGTGTTCAGGAGGGGGATGGAGGGCTGCAAGGGGCTTATTTTCCTTCAGCCCTCTTCTGTATTCAAAGATCTAAGGGTTCAGAGCCGGGATCTTATCCTGACTCATCAGAATCACAGGCAGGGCTTTGCATTTTGCTTTCCCCCCGTTACTCGGCTGAGGAGGAAGAGGACAAGGAGGAGGGGGGCTGACAAGATCTTCAATTAGGAAGTCATCCCAGTCCACATCAGTGGGCGGATTAGAATCTAAAACAGCTTCTATTATCCAGAGGTGACCTTCACTCAGCTGGAAAGAAAGCTGAGTGCTAGTTTCTAAAAGAGAGTTTGCAAAGTTGGTTTGTAAGAATCGTAATCGCGGGGAAAGGCCTGTGAACACACTTGCGTAATGTGCTGTTTGGACTTAGAGACTCCAGATGTTTAACAGAAAGGGTCTGTGTCATAGACTCTGGGACTGGAGATAAAAAGACAAACAAAAGGCTTTCCATTTTGTTAACTTATCCTTCCTTGCATCTTCTCACCTTCTGTGGCCTGGAAATTATATTCCTTCAGCTATCAGTTCCTTAATTGCTCCTGAAGGAGAAAGAAAGCTTGTGGAGGAGCTAGGAGTGAGGAAGCACAGGTGTGTCCTAAGCAAAAGTCCTTTATCAAGAGGCATGATGGATAAATGCCGTACGTCACCATAGAAAACATAGTGTTTACTTTGTTGTGCTTCTCATGCTAATCCTGAGAAGAGACGTGAGTTCAGAAAACCAGGGAAGTTGCTAGAATTGTTAAAAACACACATATTTACCCTAAAGAGAGAAAATAATTTATTACGCAAATCATCCATATGTCCATACCTTTATTGCTACTTATTCAGGTCTCTGTCAGACAGCAGTTTAATCAGAGATACTCAGATCTCGCTCTTCTTGGCCACCTCTTTCAGGGGGACACTGTCTTAAGCCAGCCAAGAGATATAATCTCTCTGCCCTGGGGTTTTCTCCCAGTGGGACATGCCTAAAACATCTCTAGGAATTAAGGATGCATGCTAGTCAGGTGCCCGAAGCACCTCAACTGCCTTGTTTTGAAGTGCGATGTTGCTGTCTAACTACATTAGGAGAAATGGAAGAACCCCTTAAAGAGGAGAATGGGCTTTAAATCCACCATAGTAGAAAATGAATGAATGTTTGAGCAAAAGTAAGACTGTAGAAGGGGTTCATAAAGTGTTTTGGGCACAAATTACTTTCTTGCTCCTTAGCTGTATAAATGACACATTATCTTCACGCTTTTAAAGACATTAAACACTGTCCCCGTTATAAGGTTTCTTTGAAGGTTTGAAGTCTAATTTTAGATCCGTTTTGAAAGCTTTTGATAATTTGTTACATAACTGTGATTTTGTTTTTACCTACTTATGTATTATATGTAATATAAATGCCAATAAACTTAAATTGAAAAATCTCTATATCCATGAGAAACAGGCATTAACCTGCATCGTCTTGTCAATAATACTTGTCAAATGTGTGTGTGCCTCAGGTTTTCCTGGCGTTACCAGCTGCGTGAGTTCAAGAGTGAATTTCGTGTGGTGGCCATCGACATGAGGGGCTACGGGGAGTCCGACCTGCCGCTCTCCACTGAGAGTTACCGCTTCGAATACCTGGTCACGGATGTCAAAGATATTGTGGAGTACTTAGGTGAGGAAACACGGGAGAACTGTGTGCCTGTAATCTCGGAATCAGTCCGAGGAGCGGAGAGTGTTTTGACAGCTATTGGGTCAAAAATAAACTTGTTTATCAATGTTGCGCCGTGGACAGCCTTCAGGCCTGCAGCACGGCATGACAAACTTCCTGTGACTCATTCTAAGTGAACATGGGACACTGCAGATACAGAGCCCAAAGCCTGCTGACTGCGTGCTAACACTGGCAGGGAGCTAGCCTGAGGTGGTGTGCACATACCAGCTAATGATTATCTGGCCAGAATGACAGTTTTTGCTCTTTAACTGGCCAACGTATCTCAGTGTTTTTCCTGTCATTTCAGCACGGCTTACACACTCTATCAGGTAATCTGTCTCAGCCCTGAAATGTCGCTGAAGATTGTGTTCAGTGGACATGAGCCCTTTCATTCTCCTTCACACCTGTCGCCTCACATCTAAATGTGTTAACACGGCTGTTTCAGTGTCAATTACAAGGAAGCCGAAAAGGTCGTGTCTTGATTTTCCTGCATAGTCTTTGAGGTGCTTTCTTCACTCTTTTCAGTATCAAAGAAAATTTCTGTTTTATTACAGCAATATTTTACTGTAGGAGTTCTGTAGATCTGGAAACGCAGACACACGGTTAAAATGAACCAAAACGTGGGCATGAAACTCTGTCGGTCGCACTCCTCCATGGTAGCCAAACACAAATGGAAGACACACGAAAGGCAGAGGAACTGTTAGCAGCATTTTCATTTCAAATGCAGTTTGAACTTAAAATATAGGGCTTCAAATAATCTCTCTAAACTGCTGCCTACAACCTTTCTGGTTATCTGACGCTCTTGTTCTTGTCCATTTAAGTTTCCTTGTAGCACTGTTGAAATTTCCAGGACTCAGCAAGTACCTAATAATCAAAGATGAATCAGTTAAATGTGACAGAAGAAGGCGTAAACATTGTTAAACACTGACGTAATTCTGCCTTTTAAACTTTTCTGAGGTAAACAAATGAGGAGTGATCATAAAATTTTGCAACCCAAACCATAAAAATTTAAAAAAAAACTATCACTGCTGAGGAAAAGCTATTTCCTCAGCAGTGATACAACTTTACCAGCCCTACTTTCATTTTCAGATCACTTTCCTTTTTTAACACCTGGAGTTGGTGAACTTTGTGATCACATCATGTGTTACATTTACATTTTCATTACTTCAAAGTCATTCATAGGTAATATCTGGCTCTTCAGTTTAGTGTTATGTTTCAAATTTCCTTTTATCCTTCAGGTAGTGACTGCATGATCAAGTGATGATCAAGGATTGGAAAAGCAGTCAGGAAAATGGAAGGATTAAACAAAGCTTTCTGCAGCTGCCTGTTGCAGCTATAAATTGAATCAATGAGAGGTGAAACTCGACCACAACAGTCAAGCTGTGGCCTGTAACATCAAAACATTAAGCTGAGAGGTTGTGCATCTTTGAAATGCTGGAAGGAACTGCAATCAGTCTGTAACGCTCTGTGCACTGCACAAATTAAATTGAACCATTGATTTTTTTTTTTATATTGTAGCTTTTTAAAAAGCCACAAGTGTTCTATCACGATGTTTTGCATCTCGTTACATTGTTCTGGCTGTCCCGGTCAATTACCTAACAGGTTTTTGGGAGCTAAGCACTCAGTCATGCACATTGCTGAGCAAATCACTTAATGGTCATTTCAGTGGAAGAAGGAAAGCACTGATTGTTTGATAACTGCTCTTCTCTAATCTGTGATCAACTCTTAGAGCCAATGAGAGCCACCCAGCTGCCTGCATTCACAGAACACATGTTATGCTAGTTACCATGTCGGTAGCAGATTTCAGCGTTTTCAGTAAACTGCTAACAGCCCAAAAGGCGGACAGAGACCGAAAGAGCCGTGGTGCTTTGTTATTTTCCAGATGTAGTTCCCCGTCTAAGATTATAGACTCTTCCTCTGTAGCATAAGCAACATCAGTGGGGCCTGCTGGGGTGATTCATATTAGTAGGTGTAAATGGTGCGACCTCAGGTAAGGGGATCAGTTTGTAGCAACTGCAACAGTAATGTGATCAGACTGAAGCCTTGACTTTGGTCAGCATTTGGCTGAATGTCATGAAATCCATCCTTTGATGAGTGTAAATGTCCTCTGAGAAAGTCAACAGTGATTTTCAGGCAGTGGCTTTTTTTTATTTATTTTTTTACACAATGGACTGTATCAGTGTAACAAAGTGGCTAGACCCTGTGGCATCACCCACTGTGTCGATTTGGGGCTTTTTATCCTCTTTTTTTTTTTTTTAACCGTAAGGGACCATTTACGAACCAAAGGGCCAGTTGCATGAATCGTATTTACCATTTTGCAGCTATAGCACAAGCACAGCAGACAGCTATGAAATTACACTGATGTAATTTCGCTGGGTGAATTTTTGGTTTATATTTTTTTTTTATTTTTCGGATTTGAATGAAGACATCTGACAAAATGACCATTGCATTTGCCAACAAGTGTTCTGTAGCTCAAAACGCACTCCGGTACTAAATATATTATGACTTAAACATAGTAAAATAATGCTGCAGACACATCCAGTTCAACCCAACAAGAGTTCAAAGTACCCCACTGACATCCTGTATGTAAGAAAGCAGTCGGTATACAGCTTCAACCAAAGCCATTAAATCCTCCCTGCTGCTGCTCACTATGTTGGCTTCACTTTTGAGCCACAGACATTGTTGCTTAGGTTTAACGTTAGAATGGACTTCCAGCTTCCTTCATTCGTGTTTTATTTCTTCCAAGGTTACAACAGATGTTGCCTCGTTGGCCACGACTGGGGTGGGACCATAGCGTGGCTGTTTGCGATTCACTACCCCGAGATGGTGACAAAACTCATTGTTCTCAACTGTCCGCATCCGTCTGTGTTCACAGGTATGATTTCAGGACGGTGTGCTGGAAAATCAGTATTCTCCATACTAATTAGAGAAGCTCTGGTTTGACTCTTGGGTTATTACTGTAATTATTAATGATAATTAGGAAGTGTTATTACTTCAGTTGGATGTTTGCATCCATCTGGCAAATCCTCCTCTGCATTAAGAGCAAGTTGATGAGACACTAATTAGAGGAGGCTAATATGAAGCTGGAACAGCTGGTTTAAATGGTGCAGACAGAGAGGCACTGAGTTATCATGTCCACAAGAAACCTGCCCTTTAATTATGTCGAGAAACTAAATGTCCCCTTTCTTCTCCTTTCCTCTCCTCCAGATTATGCCCTGCGTCACCCGAGCCAGCTGCTGAAATCCAGTCATTACTTTTTCTTCCAGCTGCCCCGCTTCCCGGAGCTCATGCTCTCCATCAATGATTTCAAGGTGGTCTGTTGTGTGTGGACTTTCAATGTCAAGGTCGTGTGTATGCGTGTGTGGATGTGCATGTGCAATAGTGTACCCCGCACATTACGAGCAGTGTCTATTTTTGGTGTTTACATCAGGTCAAACTGCAGGAAATGTGTGGATTACAGATTATTACAAAATAATATCCGGATTTTTTAAATATTGTTAGTAATTAATCATTTAATTTCTTATTTTCTCAATTTTGTTATCTTCTTCTTCCCATTGTTTAGAAGTAATTGTACTTAATATTATCTTGTCTTTGTGTTAGAAGATTTACAAATACACACAGTTTGTATTTTATCTTTCAGTGATCAGATTCTAGTTGTTCTCTCAGTATTTCCGGTGCTTGATTATTCCCGGAGTTTGATGTGAGGTTGCCACTGTTCTCATGTCTGTTCATTAAATATTAAGCAACAGCTGGGAGCTTAAGCTTACCTTAGTTAGCATGTAGACTGAAAATAAAGACTAACCTGACTCAGTTCATCAACAGCTAATTAACACATAGCGCATAGGGCAGTGCCTCGGGTTATTTTTTGTAGCTACAATTTACAGACTACTAAACACCTCATACGCAGTTAATCAGTTGTTGTGAAAGCAAAGACACAGAGAAAATGCTGATGTGTTGAAACGAGTACAGCTTGCTGTGTCTGTGTGTGTATTGCTGTTAGTTTAAAACAATGATAAACACCTCAAACCAAGTCTTTCCTTTTTGTAACTGCCCAGATTTCCCTGCAGTTTTCACCACAGGCTGAGGATTTCTACAGTATACCATCATTGATTTGCACATCACACATGCAGGAAATAGAGAAAAGGTGAAAGGTTAGCCAAAATATGACAAACACTCATCCAAACCACCTCAAACTCAAATCTCCGCTTATTGTGAGTTTAATGTTACTGTAAAACTAAAAACTACTTTCTATTTAAATTCCTTGCTTTATAATTATTTAAGCTTTTCTAAGACACTGGTGTTATATCACCTAGTATAATCAGTATGTCAGAGTTTTGCTAATTAAATGAAAGAATGCTGCCATATGCTCGCGCTGGTGCACAGCATGCAGTGTCGTCGAGCCAGCAGAGAGTCAGAGAGCCAGAGCTGTGACTGAAGGTCATCAGAGCTGATTTCACCACAGAAGTACCTTTTCTGACTCGCGTTACAGCGACATGGACGTCCTTCTGTGAATGCTGTCTAGATCAGAACGTACCGCCCATGCAAACATCACTCAGTGTTTGCTGCTGTGTCTCTGCTGCAGGCTCTGAAGGCTTTGTTCACCAGCCGCAGCACAGGGATCGGCAGGAAAGGCCGATGGCTCACCGCAGAGGACCTGGAAGCCTACCTGTACGCACTCTCACAACCGGGAGCTCTAACAGGAGCCCTCAACTATTACAGGAATGTCTTCAGGTGGGGAATTCACTCAGCCAAGGATGGATTATCTCTTACATTAAAATAGGAATACTGAAGATCAGCAGTATGCACAGTTCAGTTCTAAACATTCAGAGAAAGCGCTCCACGATGAGCTGCAAGGACAGGCCCAGTGTTTTGGCACCACAGTCTCAGCTGTGACTGCCACGGTCATGACAGCTGCAAAATAAATGAGCAGTAAACTGCCAGACACATAGCAGAAAATAGCTGTTTTAAATGTTTTTTACTCGTTGAGTTTTTGTTCATGCTTGAAAAGTAATTTTCAGTTGTGTCAGTTTAATAAACGTTATGTTCTACGCTCCAAGGATAAACGAGGTTTTTGTTGTGTAGTTTGCATTTAGTAGCACCATCTACTGTCAGAACTCTGGGGGAACAGAAAACTGAGCCTCTACTTCTGTCAGTGCTACAATACTGTCTCATATTCACATTCACATCTTTCCTACATGTTTACTGGCAAACAATGGTCCGCATAAATGAGATCAAAGAAAATCTCAGTGCATGCAATTTTGACATGTGACCTATACATGCATGGCTGAGCGGGCCATCTGCTCCCTTCTCAAGCAATGAGTTATCTCAGAGTAGCTTTTGTATGCTTACGTAAAAGAAATCTCAGTGACCCATGCCCACTTAGTCTGTCTGTTCGTGGATAGCATACCTAAATGTAGAGGGGACAAAAATAGGTGAATGCACAGTCAACATTCAGCCATCCTTTTAAATGTATATCTGCTTTCTGGTCTGAGACAGGATGGAGGCTGGAGGACGTCTCGGCAGAAGCGTGCCGTACTGCATGTGATGTTTAACAACTGTGATACTACAGAACAGGATGTTAAATTAAGACCCAGGTGCTGCGGGTCCATCGGAAATCTGGTACATGACATGAATGGACATGAATCCCTCCATCCATCCATTCTCTTCCACTTATCCTTAACATGGTTGTGAGGAGCTCGGAGTCAATCCTAGCTACATTAAATATAGTTTAATGTTGCTGGGATAAATATAGTTTTGTGAAGTTTTTGTGCCGTCTGAGAGAGAAGTACTCTGTCGGGATAATAAGGTACTCTGAGGTCGTGTGAGATACGATGAGGCTTGATTGTTCTGAACTTTGTATGTAAGGAGAAGGATTTAAAATTAAATTCTGGAGATAACAGGAAGCCAGTGAAGAGAATATGGGACGAATGTGATCAACTGAAGGCTTTTCATGTCGCTCCTTTCTTTCTGTAGCTCCCTCCCTCTGAGCCATAACCACGTCAGGTCTCCGGTGCTGCTGCTGTGGGGAGAGCGGGATGCCTTCTTGGAACAGGAAATGGCCGAGGCTTGCCGCCTCTACATCAGGAATCATTTCCGTCTTAACATCATTTCCGGGGCCAGTCACTGGCTGCAGCAGGACCAGCCCGATATCGTAAACACCCTCATATGGACCTTCCTCAAGGAGGGCGAGGGACGTAAAAGCTACAGGAACTAAATCCACAGCGAGGCCTCCTCCAGCACCTCTCCTCTCCCCACTCACTCCCTGGAAGCCTGGAATGTGCCTGTGACACCAAGCAACATAGTGATAATGCAATCATTCTTTAAATCTTTCACGTTTCAGATATTTTTTAAAGAAGTCAGTCGTAAAGGAAGAAATCAAAGCACACTTCACCAGAGAGGACACCGAACAGTACGCGTGACACATATTCAAGATGTTTTTTGCACACGACATCCGCCTTAAAGTTTGTCGGTTTCAGCATTACAAATGTGTGGCAGAATCTCCTTTGTGACTTGTATTGTGTGGTGCCTTTTTAACTTTCGAGCTGTCGCAGTGTAACGATGTCCTGCGAGACTGGGGATGTGGCGTCGCCTGCTATACTTGTGTGTTTCAACGGGTCGCTCCACTCCACTTTGGGCACAGTCCTTTGGGAGGCGTAACCCTCCCACTCCTTTTATCAGGTAGTGTTGCTGAAAAAAGCTTTTTTTCCCCCTCGAAGATTAATGCTCAAATGTAGAGAATGTTATCTTCCTGTATAGAAATGTCAGTGATGGTTGACTATTGTACTATTTTGTATCTCTTCCTACACACTGCATTTTGAAATTCACTGAGCCAGGTCTACACCATTTGATTTTATAAATAAACTAAGTGTCAAACTGTCAGACTTCACTGCTTTTTTTAAAAAAAAGATAATAACGGATTTGAAGTTAAAAGCAGAAAACCTCCAGATGCCCCTCTGTGTGTCTGTTACTGTCTCAGATTTAAAAAGAACTACCAGAAATAGCAATGGATGCTCTGTTAAATATAGCACAGAGCTGAGTGGCACTGCATATTTATACCTCCACTGTGTGCAAACAGAAATGTTCATGTGGAAATAAGGTGAGATGTGTTCATCAGACAGATATTTACAAACCCGATTCCAAAAAAAGTTGGGACGCTGTATAAATGAAAGCAGAATGCAATGATCTGCAAATCTCATAAACCCATATTTTGTTCGCAATATAACACAGAAAACATATTGTGTAAACTGAGACATTTTACTGTTCCATAACAAGGATTGGCTGATTTTGAATTTGATGACGGAAACACTTCCTTAAAATGTTGAGAGAAAGACAACAAAAGGCAGCGAGTGTAAGCGGTACTAAAAAGACAACTGAAGGAACAAACTGTAACATTATGGGCGATCGTGGCTCAAGAGTTGGTAGTTCGCCTTGTAATCTGAAGGTTGCTGGTTCGAGCCTGGGCTTGGACAGTCTCGGTCGGGCTACAATGTAGCTTGCCATCACCAGTGTGTGAATGGGTGGATGACTGGATGTGTAAAGCGCTATACAAATACAGGCCATTTACCATTAGGTTAACTCGTAGCAGGTCAGTCACACGACTGGGTATAAAATGAGCATCTTAGAGGGGAAGAGTGTCTCAGAAATGCTTGGGTAGAGGTTGACTAACCTACAAAAAAATTGTGGAACATTTTCAGAATAATGTTCCTCAGCATAAACTTATAAAGACTGAATATCTCATCACTGACAGTACATAAATTTTTCATAAGATTTGAAGTATCTGGAGTATACTTAGTAGTAGAATAGTCGGGTGCTAAACTGGCCTACTTGCTTCCAACTCAGAACTTTTTGAACCTCATGAAATGAAAAATTGCAAATCATTGCATTTTGTTATGGTTTACTTTTTATACAGGTCTTATCGCTTTGCCAACACACACTCACTCACTGCTGTTCAGGTACAGCATGTTTCACACCATGGGACACAATATTTTCATGGTTTTTATATATATTTATGTAGAAATCTCAATAATTGCTATTTAGGTTAGGTGCAGTTTTTTACATTCTGAATAATCAAATGTTGCCCTCATGAATGACTTACGTTTTGAGAATACAATAAACATTATATATTCCTATATAACAAGTATCTACATAAATAATATGTAAAACAGCACTATAGTTATTAGAAAGTTTACCGTTTACTTTCATTCTCACATATATAGTGATTATACCGAGTCTATGCCCAGTGCTACATTATTCGTATTTATCAATTTTTCTCATGTACAGTACTGTACAGTGGCATCATAAACTCGGACTAATAATCCGGGATGGAACAATGACGTAAATGCTACTAAAGCGAGCTAGTTCATTTGCTGCCTTCACTGACTCCGGTAACTCAGTAGAAAACAGGTTTATATTTTCAGGTTTCTATTAACCGGATATTATAATGTATGCATATTTGAAACAAAAACAAAAAAACCTTTAGCTTTTTCAAAAGCAACAATTTTTATATGACACTGTGAACCACAATAAAATATGAAATATTTATCGGTGGGTTTTCACTCTAACTTTTCATAATTATGTTTTTTTTCTAAATGTGTTGAAATCTTCATATTCCTGCCATATATGCCCGCTCCAGTACGCGACCCTCCACCTTCTAGTTGTTTGATAATTCTAGGTTTTTCTCTTGCTAATGTCACTTTAGCATGCTTTCATTCTTTCTGTATTTATAATCACTTCTACTGTATAAAAGAAAATAGATTTCAAAATGTGGAGCTACATTCCATGTCTCTCATCTCTGAAGTATTCACCCAAACAAACCAAACAAACCCGTCCATTCTTGTGTTTGTCTGTTTAGAATAGGCTGTACGTGAATGCATCGTTTTCTTTAGCTAGGTAGCTTTTTAGGTGTACTGCGCATGTTCCGAAGCTTCCGGCTTGTCCACTCCTTTTTCGTTTGACAAACCGCGTCGTAGTGGGTGGCGAACAGCGTGTAGCAGTGATGTCAACAACATTGGTCAGTGGGTCAGCATATTCATTTATTTTATCCTTAACGAGCAGTTACCGAGCCTCGTGCTCGCAGGCAGCTATCGACTGGAGTTAATTTGTGCAGGTGTATTTTTTGACGAGGGTAGTTAAAGGTTAAAGGGGGTAGCTTACTGTTAACGGTAGCTCCTCGTAGCTAGCATGCTAGCAGCCAGAGGAAAATGAGATTGCTTTGCTTACAGTACCAACTGGAGCCCACAGAGAACGAGGAAACACCTGAGCTAGAGCAGGTGAATTTGGGCTCCGTGTATTTAATTTTGTAAAAGGATTGCTTTATTGAGTATTAAACTTCACACAAACAGACACTGGTTAATATTTGCGGTGCTGGGTGTGTTTTCTGTTGGAAACACACGAAAGCAGGTATTTTACCATGGATAACATCATCATCCTTTTTAAGGGTACGGCTAAATAAATTTCTCGGTCACGTAACGTGGTGAATTTCTGTCGTTATTGCGGTCACCTCTTCCAGGTTTCATTGATTTCGCTAAACTTTGCTAACAGCGCCTCTTTGGATAGAAAAGGAAAGCGAATATGAGTCAGCGACTGTGGAGAAAGATGGTATTGCAGCATATGATTACGGGAAAAAAAGGTGAACGCAGTAGCCTTTTGTTGTCCTGGACTATGTGACAGCACTTGTCAGGTGATCCTTGTTGGTGTAGTTGTCACAGTTTGTGATGATCTGCCTCACTTTGTCATAGTGTGCACACAGCATGCCACTGGAAGATGTGGTTCCGATTCCACCAGAACACCTTTGAGTTCACAAGCTGAAGTGTGTCTTCCCTCTTGTCTCACTTTTAGAGAACATAACACACCATGATCACCAGTGAGGCAGCGAGACTCGAATTCCAGGTCAAAGAGCGCAAACACAAGGATCAGCTGAAGAGATGTTTATCTTCTGCTTTGTCTGCAGACCTGAACAGGTAAGGTGTCTGACACTGACTCATAAAGCTCAATGTTAAAGGCTGGGCTTTGACACATGTGCCACAAGTTTTCATCCAGCTGTCCAAGGCAGTTCCGAGCTGTCAAAGGATAAAAATTGACCAGTTCTTGTGTCCAGTAATGTGAACTTGTAGAAAGAGCTGATTAAATCAAACAAAAAAAAAAACACCACTTTTAGCTTAATTAATTCAATATCAGATTTTGCAAAGAAAGAGAATCTTCAATTTAAGATTGAGAAAAACAGGGAAAGAAAATGTCACTGCAGTACTTCACTTTTCAGGTAAAGTGTAAACCTATCCCAGCTGCCATAACGCGAGAGGCTGGGTACACATTAGACAGTTCATCAGTCTGTCACAGGGCTATCACATAGAGGCATTCAGCGATTCATACTTAAGTTCACACCTGCACCCCGTTTATAATCACCAATTAATCTGATCCCACTGCCTGCCTTTGGACGGTGGGAGAAAGCTGAAGTATCTGGGGAGAACTAGGGCTGTGCGATATGACCAAAATCTCATATCCCGATATTTGAATTCTATCATCCAGATAACGATATAAATCACAAAAATGTAACATTTTCTGTAAATTCTGCGACTCTCTGACTTGCGGGAAGTGTTTCCAGGTAGGCGTCGCGTACCTGGAGTCCAGTGTTTTAACAATGTATGAAACTATATATTTTTAGACATAAGTTGTAACGGCCGCCGTTTTCTTTGTATTTATTACACGGCGTGCTGCAGGGAAAAGCCTGTTCTAACGTTTGAGTCTAAGGTTTATTTTTTAGCACCTGGCGTCTTTTTTTTTTTTTATTCTCATCCGTAAATAATCTGCTCTTTCACGTGATTCAGTTTATTTTGAAAAGTCTCAACAGGATCTTGAGCTTTATTGTGAAAGGTTTATGTGGAACATAAACAAGCGGACACGCGATGGTGTTACCGTCGTTGTTGCTAACCACAACGCATAAAAACAGGCGCTTGTCCGTCTGTAGTGTGGTTATATTAAATATAAGAGAAAGAGAGAACTTTAAGAAATTAATATAGCCACTACAGTGACCATCAAAACAGTGAAAAAATATTGCCATAAACAGTTTATTTTGCGACACCACAAAACAAACAATAGCATAAAATGAAACGATAGACTTTTTATATTGTCATCCGATATATATCATTATATCGAACAGCCCTAGGGAGAACCCATGCAGACATGAGGAAAACATGCAAACTCCACACAGAAGGGCCGTGTCCAGATAGCAGATTTGAACCCAGGACCTTCCTTTAATGTGAAGCAACAGTGCTAACCACTATGCCACCTTTGTATGCTACTTAAAAAATATTTCTAAGATTTAATTAAAAGATTCTAAAAAAGCAGCAAAATGTGGTTATAGAAAGTAAAGCTGAAGTTAAAATCTAGTGTCTGCACCTTAATAACCCAGGCTAGAGTTCCTGAATGTTCAGTAACACACACACACTCATAGCATTTAAACCGATTGCACAGCCTGTCAGACAGCTTTATTGATTAAAGATTTGGTGTCACACTGAGATATTCATCACCATAACTGAGAAAAAAAACTTTTTAGCAGCAACTCCAGTGCTGTTCAAATGTTAAGAGTATAGAGCTGGCTTTCACTCCTGTATTCGTTCTTTCTTTGTGAAATAGTAACCCATGTCATCTGACATATTGTCAGTATTTCTTTGTCAGTTGGATGAAGGCGCCTGACATTTTCTTGTCTTTTTAAGAAGCTTCATTGGCATATACGTTACCTACATGTACTTATCGACCATTTTGACACAGTCTAATAAATGATGTTGTTTCACAGCCAGTGCTCTTTTGAATCAGGCCAAGTTTTCCTTTGGGGAAAAAAAAGATTGCTTTCCAAATGTCTCTTAAACGTGCTTGGCTCCATATTAGAGTTATAATAATAAGAAATGACAGAAGTGTATTTGTAAAAACCATAATTATTCATGATGTGTTAAAAGAACACAGAAGCAGAGGAATTATTGTTGAATAACCTCTAGAAGGTACAATGTTTACTATATTTACTTACTTTCAAACTTGCATTTAAGAAATGCCATGGGTAGAGCTTTTCCTCAGATAATAGGATCAGTGGATCTGGAATTGAAAACTTGGTGCAAGCAAAGTTGCACTAGGTTTCACAGATAAATGGAAACTCTGGGATGTGGATCTCCTTGGTGCACGGGCAGCATTTCTAATCAAAGGGTAATACAAGTGGACACAGCACCGGAGTTTGAAGTCATAGTGTCACAGTTGGCCATCAGCTGACTGGTTTCTGGATCTTTGCTTATTGAGGCTGGATGAGATGATAAGACCACCTCAGGACTCTGCTTGTGTTGTTCTCAAGTGGAAAAATGGGACATAAGGTGAATCTTCAGAGCCTTGGGCCTTTTCTTCATTGTCTCCTTTCTGTGTTTGTTTTTAAAGAT